TATATTTTAAAGACTCCAAAGAAAACAATATGATTAGGTGTCATTAGTATTACTAAAGTGTCATTTAAATGATCATGTACAAATTTCAAAACTGGGCAGTCTCAGAAACACACTCAGATTCTGTACTGCGTCCAGAGGTGAGCCATGGGTGTAGCCTGATGAGTCCTGCTGTCTGATGACTTTCCAGTCTGGTGTGCCACCTGCCCTCATCTCTTCCTCTACAGTGAGCTCCTGTAAAATCGGCAATTCCCAAAACCAGTCCTGGGACTAGGCTGCAAAATTTGGCAGGATCAACCCGTATAACATAAGGCCATCTTCACACTTGCTCCTCACCCTTCATGAATAAACATTCTTATTCAAATAGGTTATATATTAACTAGCTGCAGTAATTGTGATTCAACTTTGCGTGGTAAATAGAGTCATTCTGGCAAGACCGCAGAGTTTGCGATGCAAATCACAGAGATTTTAATAATGGCAAAAATAAAAATCGGTGGCATGATTCCTAAGGCACCGTAATTCCAATACTTTTATTGCAACAGTAGAAAGCACACATAAATACTTCTCCCTTTATAAGCTGACGGGTTTTATTTGGATATGCATCATCACACATATTTACTTGTAATCTTGTGTCAGAACACCCTTTCAGGGACTTAGAACCCAAAGCTCCCCAGCCCCTGACACTCAGAGGTGATGTTGTTACTTCTCAATAAGTAACACTGAAAGAGTCACTGGATTAAGTGATTTCGGTACATTATCACCATCAACAATAATTATTTGGCAGCTGCCCTTGTGAGCTTTGCATGTGCTTATGAATAAATCAAGCCTTATTGATTTACTAAGCCCAAACATCTTACATTTTGCTCCACTAATAAGGGCCATAATCCCCCACTGCACTTGGTGACGCCTTACTGCAGTAGGTTCCTTAATGCTTGCAATGTGAAAGATTAGGGTTGATTTGCCAAGGCGGGAACAGCACTCAGTGAATGGCCAGTCGGCCACCAAGCCCGGGCCTCTGCCAGGATGCCCTTATGAATGGAGGTCTCTGACTGAGGGTGTGAATCCCATCCTCACGACACGTACTCAGTCTGCTACCTCGCTAGCTTTCTTTCCTCGTAACATCTAACGTAATAATGATGACTCACATTAATTCAAACATTAAATTAATTCTAAACAGCAAGGCCGGAAATACAGAACTGTAAAGAGTTCTATATACAATGAAAAGCTATCCTCCAAAATCGCCAAATTATTCTCTTTCAATACCGTGACCGTAGACCGCAGATGACTTGGCACCTCCCCACTCTGTCCTCTACCCTCTCAAGCTTTTCCACCCCAGCCTGATAGGGAAAAGACCTCCTCCTCTCCCTCCTCCCAGGCAACACAGGGGAAGGACTCGTACACACTCCTGGGCCGCCACCCACACACTCACTGTCACTGGGCTCCCCTGACCACGCGGTTTGGGACTGAACATGGTTCTGCAGGTTCTGACGGTGAGCCCAAGTCTCCAATCCCAGGAACGGAGGGCTTTGCACAAGCTGAGCAAAATTCCCAGTTCAACCTCCAATTCTTTCCTGGAAGATATTCTGCCCAGATACTCAATAAATTTTTATCTTAGTTAATCTGTCCCTTAAACCATCAAAACTTCATCATCCTACGTGAAACACAGAAGCTTACTCTCTATGCTTCGACATAGAAAGCTCTACATACATGGATCCTAATTCCAAAACGAAGTTCACTCATTATGCACAAAATAGGAAAATTAGTACTCACACCTCCCCACCTTCACAAGGGCCACAAACCAAGAAATTTCTGACGGAAAGGCTCTTCAGAGATTTTGAAACTATAACCCTTTACTTCAAAGATGTGGGCCAGTTGGGTGAGACCAGTCAGAGAAACACAGCAAGACCCCAACATCTCAATTAAAAAAATTAAAAAGATGAGAATACTGGGTGAGAGAAACTCACCCATGGAGCTAAGTTAATGGCAGAAGAAAAACAATAATTCAGTTCTCTGTGCAGGGAAATAGCTCAGAGGTAGAGCACTTGCCTGGTTTGATAGCCTAGGTTTGATACCCAGTACTGTAAAAAAAAACAGTAAATAACAAATAAAGAAATAAAAAGAATTCAGGTCTGTAGTTCACCTACAATGCCCCTTTCTCTAAGCCATTTTGATTACCGGGATCCAGAAGAAACCCAACACCACCGAGCTCCCAAACAGAAACCCTGCTTGTCCTAGATTTGCTGTAACTCATGTTAATACTCTGACAAGCCTTCCAAATTTAACCATAACAGAATACTGGCTGAGTACAGGAGCAGAATTTACAAGAATATTAACGCTCCAAGAAAACCACAAAAACAAGCAAGCAAAACAATCTCTGCTCAAAAAATAGACTCTCCTAATCCCTCTAGAACAACTGCCACCTCTGGTTACAAAGCAATAATTACCCTGTCCTACAGCAGTCAATAATAACTCTTGCCCCATGAAGCTGCTATTTCCTAACTTTGTTCTCTGTACTAAAGATTGCAAAGTCTTATTGATCACCTACTAAATTTTAAGTTCTTTAAAAAAAAAAGAAATGCTCTAGCTGGCCTAACTTGGTGTTGTTTGAACAGACTTCAAATCTTTCAGTCGTATTAATGGTTTCCCTTTCCCCAGGCCTTATTTTTCATTGTGAACTTGTCATTTTTCGGGTACCTGTATCTTGTCTTACAGCACAGAGACTACAGGATACAAATCTGATAGTCCTTCTAAAACTGTGACTTCTGTCACATTTTTCTTCCAAGTGAAAGAGGAGGATTGATTAATAAACTACTCCCGGGCTCTCAAGCAACAACATGAACTTTTTTTTTTCTTTCTGATACCAGGGATTGAACTCAGGACCTTGCACTTGCAAGGCAGGCACTTTGGCACTGAGCTAAATCCTGGGCAACAACATGAACTTTTACCAAACGAACCCATGAACTCTTAGAGTGCTAATATCAGTCCTCCAGAAATTCTCTCTAAAACTAGTCACACCAGAGCAACTGTTATTAGGTGCAATTATCTTACATCCTTCCACAGGGCATGCAGCTACTCAACTGTCAACCTTTAGAGTATGTTATGAAAGGGACAATGAAAGCATCAGCAATCGGGGGTCCAGGGGGACTCTGAAGGGCCCTCTGTGGTCCCTCTGGCCTCCTTCTCTCAGAGCTTCATGCATATCTGTGTCTCACTCACAAACCCACATGAGCTGAGCGCAGCTCAGGGGTGAGCTGAGTGCAGCTCAGGGGTGAGCAGGGGCTTATCTGTGTGGCATCTGTGCGCAGAGTCAGAGCAAGAGACTATCTGTAATTCTCCAACTAGAACTGATTTACCCGGGATCTCATCACTACAATTCATGATGCTGCCTGCCTGTAATCCCAGGTTCTTGGAAGGCTGACGCAGAAGGATCACAAGAGCCACCTTGGTAACATGGTGTCTCGTGTCCAAAAGTGAGCCCCATCTCAAAAAAAAAAAAAAACCAAAACAAAACAATTGAAAGGACTGCAGATGTAGCTCAATGGTAGAGCGTCTTCCTAGCATGCATGAGGCTCTGGGTTCCAATCCCAGACACGAACACAAGATACAGCTGCAACATGATCGACACCACACAACTGTCTACACAGTCATGTGAGCACAGATGCGTCTTGTCTGTTGATCTAGGAGAAGGGTGGATAAGCTGACAGTCGAAAGAGGAGGAAGGAAAGGGGCGGACAGCAGTTCCACACTCCGGACAGAGCAGATGCAAAGATCCGAAATAGAAGACAAGGGCCAAGCAATATTCAATCCTGACAAATGTCACATAAATGCAACTTTTAGACTCTAGCCATGTTTTACAAGGCCCTCCTTAGCAGGCTATCAAGTATGCATAACAAAAGAATAGTGTTTTTTAAAAAGCCCCAGACCATTCCCCCCAATCATAAAAACATCACACCATAGCCTGGAAAAAAAAAAAAAGGCAACATGTAAACACTCTGAAAGGCTACAGCAGCTGCTAATACCACGGTTATCTCTAAAACTGTGCAAGTCATTTCAAAACGAAGGGAGGTAGTGAGCAGTCGGGAGGGCGTGGCACACGCCTGTGCAGGGGCATCACCAGCCTTCGGTTGCCGCTGCTGTCAGGGTCACACAGTGCAACAGGAAGACTAAGATTCTGGCCGTCAAATATCAGGCTGACCTCGGTTCTCCGGACAAGTGTCTTTGAAGCCTCTGTAATATACGCAGCCCGCTCTCTCCAAGCCCCACCTCTCACACTCCTAGCAGGTGGAATTCTCAGTTGCAGAGCCGCCACGGCAGATCCAGCAGAGTGGTGGTCTCTCCCCACCAGCTGCCAGTAGCACCTCTCTCTCCCTAGAGCCCCAGTCAAAAATGCCTCCAGACCTTGCTTGTTATCCCCAGGGCCACAGGAGGCAGGGGACCACCCAGCACCAAACCATCGGCTTCTAGCAACTGAACTGATTTCATTCCCGTAAGTTTGGACCACTCCCTTGAGGGATGTCCTGCCTCCTCTCCTATTTAGGGTTCTAAATGCGTCATACCCTCAGTCTGCCCACGGGACAGATTAAAACCTACTAGGGAGACCTGTTAAAAGGACTCTAGGGCCCAGTTCAAAACGTCAGTTCTCTGAAACAGAAGGAAAGAAACGAGACTAACCGCCAAGGCGGAAAGGAGATCTGCATCAAGGCGTCCTTCAGCCTCTTTCCTCGGCCTCCCGAAAGCAATCTGTGGACCGAGCTCCGCAGCTTTCACCTCTGAGGCCACAGGTGGCACGGTCGTCAGGACCGGCTCTGACGTATGAAAATACACTGCTTCCCCAAGCCCAGCAGCTCCAGCAAATGACACCCAAGAGCAATTTTTAAGGAGCTGGAAAACCTTCACATGAAATCCCATCGGAGTTGCCCAGGAGGGTTCTCCGCCCCCACACTGACTACGCGCAGCGAGAAGGACCTCGCGAGCGAGCCGGGGCCTCCGCCATGCACGCTCACCGTCCGGGGGCATCAACACCTTGTTGTTCTGGGTGCACCACCCCACGGGGTGCAGGTCGGCTATGACCACGTCACACCAGAAGTCAGCCCTGCGGTCCTCCCCGTAACCACAGTAACGCAGCAGCAGCAGCTGTCCGCAGGTGGTGATGATCGTGGCCACCCAGTACGTGTCCGGGTTGTTCTTGTTGGCCACCTCCAACTTCATTCCTGGCTGGAAGTTGCTCTGAATGCTGATTTCAACCTGAAGGGATCAGAAATACGGGGGAGCCATCACTGCACGAGACACGGGCCTCCAGAACTGCTCAAAAACACAGCACTTTTTAAAAGAGTATTTTTACTGCCCTATCATAGTTGGATATTTGTCTAAAAAAAATATCATCTGAGCCTCAAATATAATGCTAAATCTTCTAAAAGATTCAAAAAAGATAAAATCAATTTTATCACATACTCATTTCTAACATATTACCATTTCAGCACGTACCCATGAGATGAGGCAGTCTTCTTTCCAAACAAAGTCTGGTACCGTAATCCCCCATCTACACAACTTGGACTACAAACTTTTCAAGTATCGAACAGCTGCATGTGCTGGTGGCTAATGCACAGATAGTGCCAACCTAGACAATGGACTTCTTTTTTTTTCTTTTTCTCATTAGAGGCTTTATTCTTAAAGAAACTACCAAATTACTGCAGCAAATCAAGAGATACCTGTTACCTGGCTTTTGCAGGACCATAATCCATCTGTTTGCCAGAAGAGCTCTGGTTCAGCTACATTTTAATGTTTAGCTCTTTGTTTCACTAAACTGTCACAATCACATCCATAACAGATTATCCTATGATGAGTACAAAAGGAGAACTAGGAACACACTCTCCCTTCACCAGGGCACACAAAGTGTTAAGGTCTTAAATTTCTTTTCGATAGAATACTGTCTATTAAAATAAAAATCCAAAGTTCTAGCTTTCTCAGTTGGCCAAAGAACCAAAATGAAAGTTAAGAAACTGACCAATTTGCCTATGAAACTCAGGATGAATCTTTGCCATGGGTACCCCATTGGGGGAAGAAAAAGGTTTCTCAGAGTAAAATTTTAGTTTATTAAAACAATCTAAATATTAAACACATTTAATACCTTGAGTTTTGAAATTTTTTTGTTTTTTGTTTTGTTTTGTTTTGTTTTTTGAGACAGGGTCTCACTAGTAGTTGAGACTGACCTGGAACTCACTGTGTAGCCCAGGCTGGTCTCAAACTCAACAGCGATCCTCCTGCCTTGGCCTGCCAGGTGCTTTGAGTCTTGAAATTTTATCAGTTTCCTTGCTAACAATACACTGTACCAATATCTCACACCTAAGCAAAAATCTTGTCAGAACTCTATTTTCAATTTTCTGTAACTTGTTCTCTGGTGGGCATTCCAAAAGAAAATATTAGTGAGAAGAATGATTTTTTTGTTAGATTTAAATGTTTTCAGACTATTTAAGGTTATTCATTTCATTTGATACATCTATCCACAAATTACTGTGAAAGTTTAATGTATCCTTTGAAAATATCAGCTCACAATAAAACTATATCGCTATTAACCTATTCAGACATTAAATGTTGCATCTTCTTACCTGGTTTGCTGGCTTTTGTTTACTGGAGTGAGCCTTACCTATCTTATCTGCAGCTATCTGTGAAAACCAAACTAATTTCCACATCTCTCTCTTTATTCCTAGGAAATCTTGTCTGAATTCCATCTCTCCTTGGCAGTCCCTTTCTGTCCATTGCAGATTCCCTCCCCGTCCCACTCACAGGGCAGAGGAGAGGAGCTGTTTTACTTACATGTTTGAAGGATGTATGGGGGGCAGCCCTCATGCCTGTCTCTTCCAAATAGTCTCCCCAGTTAAAACCAATTTCCTCCAAGCTGGAGCCGTCTTCTTGTTGGGAAAAACAAATGAACAGAAAAAGAATATCAACATCATGAAAAGCCACTGGCTTCAACCAGGACCAACTAGGTCGTTCATAAAAGAGATAAACTAATTCAGAGGCTTAGTTGGATATGGCTGAATTCTCTGTGGAGCTTCTCTGCCTATTGTAGAGATGCCGACAGAAGAAATGACGGCAAGAGCCAGGGATTTGGCTCAGTGGTTCTGTGGCCTGCTTCGCAAGCACAAGGGCCTGAGTTCGATTCCTGGTACAAAAAAAAAGACCAAAGCTCAGGGACAACACTAGGACTGAAGAGGAAAACCCCCCAACCCATCCTCAGTGAAAATAACTTTGCCGGGGATTTAGCTCAGTAGTTCCTCCGCCTGCCTTGCAAGCACAAGGACCCAAATTTGATTCCCAGTACCAAAAAAAA